AGCAAACAGCTCCCATCAAGAGCCCCAAATGGGCGGAGAGTAAGCAAACAGGTAGCCCAAAATCTATAGGGTAATCAGAAAGTAGCTTTATGTGTTCCAACCTGGGTAACCAACTAATCAGAAAACAGCTATGTAATGTTCGAGCGGGTATATAGGGCAACCAACTAATCACAAAGTAGTTATGATGTTTATGTTGCGAAGGATCTTTCTAGCTTGGTGAAGGGACAGTCTTCTGAGAATTCATTTTATTGGACTTGGCCCAAGAACCTGAGATGAAACAGAAAACCTTCATGTGCAGTTTTCGAAAATATGTGCGCTTTTTGAAAACAGGCTCGCAGGCGCCCCGTCCGAAGGCCGGTTTTTCCCGTCCAAAGGCCGGTTTTCCCCGGGCGCCCGCGCCCCCGTCCGGACGTCATGTGCGTTCTTTTAGAAAAGGTCCTAAAATTGGATTTCCAGGCCCCGTCCGCCCACGTCCGGCCGCCACCCGTCCGGACGCGTCCGCCCGCATTTCGCCGAAACTTGGATGCCCCCTAAAACAACACAAGAAAGACCCATGAATGTCCGGCACACTTTTAGAAGCCTGCCCAGAACCTCTCATGAGCCCAACCCTATACCCCTGTACCAGTCTGTCTTGCCTCTGACCTTTCCAGGACCTAGTCCACTGCAATCGCAAGAAGAACAGGGTTTGTTTTGCATACTTTGGGGCCATGTAGAATACTGTGGAAGTATTCTTTCAAAGAAAGCCAGCCGCGCACCGGCGCAGGGCACAAATTCATGTTGTGGAAGTATCCGCAATGCCCAGCCAATTCCATGTGTGGCAACATGTCATGCAGCTGCTCCGCCACATGCAAAACAATACACTGGCTCTTGGGGAGTTGCTTTGCTTGCGGGGAAGAATCATGACTTGCAGTTGAGTCGCTGAAGCCCTGCGAGATTTTCCCAAGGAGCTCACGTGTTTGTGGCACCTGGGCTAGGCATGGCTGAGGAAAGGGATTCCGCAGCTCCCTGCAAACTTCAAAGCAGGGCATGGAGTACAGGCACCCTGCGCGAAGGGATGGCAGTACTTCAAGCCCAACAAGTGAAGATTGAAGATGACCCAGAAGTGCTTCGGATGCAGCAGGAGTTGCAGGACATGAGCATGATCACCTTTGGTGAATTGCATTGATTCTGGAATCCCTTTCCCCAACATGACCCGAATCTCCTCTACTGTCCTATCAACTTTGAAGGACCTCAAGCGCCGCCGTGAGCAAATGGCCTCCCCGAAGATAACGTCGCCAGCGGCGCTGGCTGCAATGCCTGCAGGGTCCAAGCCCTCCGTGACGACCCCAATGAAGGTTGCTAAGAAACAAGCTGTTGCGGACCCAGAAAGTGTGGATGCTGCAGAAACGCAGCGTGATGCCCTGACACCCCTGCAGAAGAAAACACTCAGTTTTGCTACCTTGGCTGCACAGTGTGTGTGTGTGTGTGCGTGTGTGTGTGTGTATATGCCCGTTAATCCCCCCCTCCTAATATTACCCCTAACATTAAATACTATCCGGTGCAGTATACTGTTGATGGAGGAAATCTTGCACCACCTTAAGTCCCTAAAGTCCCAGAAATTACAGTACTTCAGGGCCCCTAGATGGTGCAAGATTTCCTCCATCAACAGTATGATAGTGTATTGGGGAGTAGTTAATATTAGGGGGAGTGGGGGGGTTGAATATTAGGGGGAGGTGATTATTATGCTGGCCACAACATCCCCAAATGTTGCAAACCTCTTTAGCGCCCATCCCCTGCAATGACCTGAGGCTGCCTCCCCAGCTGCCTCGAAGGAGACCGAGCCAGACGCGAAGCAAGCAGATTCCACCGGCGGCGCTCCTCAGAGCAATGAGATTGAGGAACTTCGTGAGCAAATCAGAGCCTTGCAGTTGGCAAACGATGCCAAAGACCTTGAGAACCGCAGCTTGCATGCGCTGCTTGATCAAAGCCCTTCGGATGACTACGAGATCTCTGATGAAGCTTTGCGCAAGCGGTTAAACCGCTTGTGCGAGCGGAAAAAAATGGGAACCTGGGCATGCTATTATACCCCACTATGCAGAAAACATCAAAGCATGTACAGAGGCAGAGGCTATACTCCACTTAGGAACTTGCAGATCCCGGAGGAGATACATAATCTTTGGCTGAAGGGCGGCGATGATCGCAAGCTTCTTCAGCAACGCCTTCTTGAAGCTGGCTTGGACAAGGCATAACCTTGGATTCCCATGTTGGCGAAGTCTGAATTTCCCTTCCCACAATCCACTGACAGGAGAAGTTCGTTACTGCTGTGACACTGGAAATCAAAGAGAAAGAAAAAACGAAGGTGAAGATCAAGGCCCAGTGGGCCACGGAGGACAAAATGCGGGATGTTCTGAAGCTGAAGGAGCACTTGGGCTGCACCACATGTAAGAATGTTCTTGCGTGCTTCCCATCTTCAATTTTGCAGATTCATACAATCAGTTATAGCCCAGGCCCCGCATCAAGGCAGTCAAGGAGTATTGCCAAGCCGATCCCACGGAATTGATCTCGCTACCTGGCTTCGCGTGAAAATTTCTCCACATAACCCATTGCCTACACCCCATGATTCTTGCCCCCATTCACGTTCTCTCAGGTATGACAAGTACGAAAAGAAGCCGAAGTACTGGTACGAGGAAGATCTAGAAATGGAATGGGAGAAGACCAAGGAAAGATCTGTCAGCAAGCAAACGAACATGGAGGCTGAGACATCGGGCGCCGGTCTTGCAGCTGCTATGACCAACCCCATGAAAGTGGATATGGACATGGCTTCCCGAGGCGCACCCGTTAGAATGGCAGTGCACTCAACCTTGAATTGAGTCTCCACGTGGCAATGATGCCCCAGCCCTCACCCTACACTGATACTGTTGACGGGGGAAATCCTGTGCTGCCTTTATAAAGTCCCCAAAGTCCTAGAAAGTACAATATAGTTTAGGGGCCCTATAAGTGGTGCAAGATTTCACCCATCAGCAGTAACCCTAACCTAAACCCTTGTTATACACAAGCCCTACATAGACCCCCACTACCCTGTAACTGGAAACCCTATAACCCTATAAAGCCCCAAACATTGCAGGTGCCAACGAGGCTGCCCAGCCTTCCGGCAGCGGATCCAGACCAGAAGCGGCGCTCTTGCCTTGTGTTCCAAGGAATGCTACGCCATCCAGTGTGATCTTTAAGTACATGGATGGTGTGGCAAAGCGTATCAACAAAGTTGCTGATTCTTGGTGGTGATAGTAAGGGTCATTGCGGGGCATGCTCGCAACAAGTGCTCTTGGGTTCAGAAATGTCATGGGGTCCTATTTACTTTCAGTCCATCAGGTCGTGTGGCCCAGCTCCCCCAAATGTATACATTCTCGCTTAGCCTTTGTAAGGACCTCAAGAAGAAGTACGAGGACATCGAGCCCAAGCTCAGCACTCCCTGCCACCAGCAGCAACTAGGCGTATATGTTTGAAACACCCCATTCAAGGATGGAACTTTATGGAGGCTCGAGGGGATTACTAAGTATGTATCATAGGTTATATAGTCATGGGGATAGGTATATATGGGGTGACTATATGTATA